CCTTCACCTGAAAATCCATTCCACTACCATTACGCTACAATCCCGATCGAGTTTTAAAATAACTCCATGACCCGATCTCCCCATCCCCTTCCTCCTCCTCCCCGTTCCTCTAGACACCCAAATGACAGGAGGATGTACATAGTTGTTGATGGGGGGTGGAGCAGGGTTGTCGTGTGGAAGGGAGGGAGAGGGAGAAGGAGCACGGGGTGCAGTGTCAATCTCAATTTGTGCCCCTTCTAACCCCATTCCCCCCTGCGAAGCGCCATCCGAACCCACCACACATGCTCGGGGCTATTCCCTGAATTCGGGCGGGTAGTCTAGCGTAGATCTTTGACCAGCCGGAAGTGCTACGTTACGCTACGCCAGAGGACACTTAGGCTGGAATTAGGCTTAAGGGCCGGACGCTTAAGCGTAGGCCTGGGCTTGAGCTTACCTTAGGCTTAGGGCTTCGTCTTAGGGGGTTTGGCTTAGGCTTCCGCTTAGCTTTTGCTTAGGCTTAGGATTAGCTGGTGCTCAGGCTTAGGCTTAGCTTGAGCTTAGATTGGGCTTAGGCTTATGGAGGCTTAGGCTTAGGCTTATGGGGGCTTAGGCTTAAGGCTTCGTCTTAGGTGCTTAGGCTTAGACTTAGGCTTATGGAGGCTTAGGCTTAGAACTTCGTTTTAGGGGCTTAGCCTTAGGCTACCAGTATGACTACGCAACGCTCCACTGCACTCAAGATCAACCCCGAAGTGTAATTATACTCTAACCCATTGTCAACACTGCCGTTCCTGAAATAAGACTCAAATCTAGAACCAATCTGCATTAGGGCCGGCATATTCAGCGTGTTCATCCAAGGACAATGCGAACACGGACCAAGACAATCGACGACCCGGTCGAGCCGTCGCTAATGCGATAATTTGCCCCCCGGAGGCGATAACCTCGTGTGGCTTCCGATTCGGGCACTCGGCCCAGCTGATGCATATCTCCACTTGGGGTTGCGGCTGTCAAGGTTGTGATAATTGGGATGGGAAGGTGACAGATATGACACAACGGGTATTCATCGGCGATTAATGGACTAATCTATTGTCTAGGAAAAATAAAATAGATTTTTCCTACCTAAACTGTTAAAAATTCGGCTTGGCTTAGCTTAGGCTTAGGCATAAGCTTAGTTTAGGCTTATGTATAGGCTCAGGCCTGGGGATAGGCTTAGGATTAGGCTTCGGTTCGCCTTGGGGAAACCCTAAGGGTTAGGGTAAAGGTGGGGCTGGGCGGGGGTGGGGTTAGGCTTACTTAGGCTTAGGCTTAGGTTTGCTTGGGCTTAAGCTCAGGCTTAGGTTAGGCTTAGGCGTAAACTTACTCCTGCTTACCTACGCTTCGGCTTAGACTTGGGCCAGGCTTCGACCTAGACTTCTACCTAAACCTTTCGACTCCTCAAATATCTCCTTTGATCATCTACTTCCTGCAGAACTGCTGCTCCTACTCTTAATGGACTTCCTGATAAACACAAGCCCCTCTTCCGCTTGACCGACCTTCAGCTTCTCCGCGTTGTTGCCGTCTTCCGGTGCCATGAAATCGGAGAATCACCACCCAAAGCTTGGTTGGCCCCGGCCCGGGGCTAAGCTGCAAATTTCGGTGTCCCCCCAGCCAGGGCCCGGGCCCAAATCCCCCGAAGAATCAGCTGTGCCAGATTATTGGGGAGGGGGTGGGGGGCTGAACAAGGCAAAGCCAGCTTAGCCAACCGCCCCGATCCGCCTGCCAATTTCCAAAAAGGATCCCGAGGCTCTGAGCGCAAAAAAACAGGCTCCCAATATTTCCGGAGGACAGGGAGCGAGAATGAATTTTGGAAAATGGATGGGGAGCGATAGAATTCTGGAAATACTGGGTTTTGGAAAGCTTAAAAAATGCTTGGGCATAACTAGGTTTAGGCTTAGGCTTAGCTTCAGGCTTAGACCTAGGCTTAGGCTTAGGCTTGCTTAGGCTTGGGCTTAGGCCTAAATTCGGGCTTGGCTTGAGTTTGGTCATAGGCATCGGATAGGCTTAGGCTTGGGCTTTTAGGCTTAGGTTTAGGCTTAAGCATGGGCTTGGGCTTACTTTAAGCCTCATCTTGTGCCAAAATTTTCCCCTGATTTCGAATAAGTCTTTTAAAAATTCGCCGTTTCACGGCTAAAAACCTTTCATATATTTCCTACAGTTTAAGCCTAGACCAATGAAAAACGCCTAAAAAACAACAACCTAGCCCAGACTTCGATTCCGTAGCTGCAGCCGCCAACATTCCGGTCCGGGCCGCCGGGCCAGTCCGCACAGAGTTGTGTCCCGTAGCGCCCGGTCGCTTATGCCCAAAGACCGGAAACTATGTCCAAATCCAGCGTCACCAAGGGCCACTAATGCCCTGCGGCAAATTTACAGCGCGCCGCGAGTTAGTGGAAAAATGACGCCTCCACGGATATTTATCGAGGCTTCGGGTGGCTTGCGAGGAGCGAGAAACCGACTAGGGCCATTTTTGAAAATACGAAAATATGATTTTGCGGTTGGGACAGGGGTAAAATACGAATTACAACTATTTTGAAACTGACAAAAACCATTTTGGGCTTGAGACAGTCGAAAAAAAGAATTTTTGACGCTTGGGACAGACCAAAACGGAACCAGATACCAATTCACCGCAAAAAGAATCAAGATTTGGCCTTAGAAAAGTTAAAAATGAGCAGGGGTCATATCGATCAACGAGCAGAAAAACTTTTTTTGTGTTTGGCACAACCCAAAATTGTACCAAATACCATTCACAAAAGTGAAACAATGATTTCCGGACCTCAAGACCCCATTACAGATGTTTTAAACACTCACGAAATTGCATTTTTGGCAGAAACTCTTCTTTTGAAATCAAAACCCTCACCCCCAATCCCGAGCGCCGCCACAAATTCGCCGAAAAACGTGTCCGGCCCCTCGAATCGGCAAATCTAAAGGGGGAAGAGCTGATGAAGCTTGAAAACTTACAAGCTCAATGCGCAGCCCTACGTCCTCGATAAGCAGCCCGAGCTTCTCGCAGATGCATAGCATTCCTAAAATGCGCCTAAACTGGGGGGTGTCGGGAAGGAGAACCCTATCTTAAATAACCTCAATTAGCTACTAAACGTTAGATTTCACGATTTTGTATCTATTTTCTATTAGTGCGCCAATTTCCTGGAATGATTTTTCAAACCTTGTTGATTTTTGTGACTTCTGTGTTAATCTGGTTGCGTAACGCCAAACGCGAGATTAGCTTGAGTACAATGGCAAGGTAAACACCGCAAGTGTTCGCGGGTCAATTGCGCGCATAAGTAGCTACTTTGGCCAGGAAATTAAAACATAAGTTAAACGCTAAACGTTATAACTATAGCTATAACTTTGAATGAATTAAACGAAGCCTTTTCCCAGAATCAAAAGGCGCCCCATTTCATATTATAAATTGTCCAAACCTGGTTTTAAAACTATACATTTCTTGGTCCTGGACTGCTAGCAGGGGGACTTAACGTTTGTTTTTCCAGCCCATACCTAATTTTCAATAATAAAGAGCGTATTGCTATAATGTTTTTAGTAATTTTTTTATTGGTGGTAAGTTACAAAAAAATATTTTAAAAGTTTTTATAATTTTTGACGAGCTCTTTATATCTAAAAACTGTGCAAAATGCTACAAACAATGGTTTATATTTTTCTATCACGTCGCACAGGATTACTGGGAAAAATTACCCCCCCCCGCTAATAGCCCTGTACCCATTTAACTAATAGCTAGCCTGAATCTAAGCCCGAGCTTACAAAGTTTCGTTAAAAACTAAAAAACGCTAAAAACCCAGGAAATTAGCGAAACTAGCAGTTTTTTAGGAAATTAGCGGAGCTTCTCATCATTAGCCAAAGCCAATAAAAATAAACCTATAAAAATAGCCTCACCGGATGGGTGGTTGTATATGAGTCAGGGTGCCGAGAAGGGACAGCCGTTTGTGCCCGGAGCGGCCAGATTTCTGGGATTGTTTTCCTATTCGTTTTCGACAACAAATTGCGGCGATTTGCCCGGCTAGAGGGCACATTCTCGGGGCAGTGAGATTCCCATGGTTCCGGTCGTGATCTTGGCGGAACATCGGCGGATAACGATAAAAATGGTTGCCGTGGGGCTGGAGACAAAATATCTGCACGAGTTTCCCATGGGGGTCATCGGTATTCGACATGCCAATCGCTGTCGGCACCATCCAAAGGGATCATATTCAAACGGGGGTACCGCACGCGGGGGATAAGCCGGAAACTATAGGGAAACGTATGCAGGAAAAACGGTACTAGCCTGTTATCGGGGGTGGGGGGGGGCAAACCAATTTTTGTGATTTTCCGCCTATACTTTCCTGTTGGGAATATAAACTGTATTTTATATGTGTTTTTAGTAGTTTTCGATTGCTAGAAAGTTATAAAAGCTAATTTTGAAAATTCGGAAATACTGATTTTTTGGGCCATTTTTCATACAAAGTTTCGACATTTTTATGAGCTTTTTAGATCTAAATAAACACTGTGTAAAATGCTCTAAAAATGTGTAAGCCTTACGGCAACGCTCGGAAAATTGGTCCCCCCCCCCGTTAACAATCCAGTCCCGACTCAGAATGCTTGATCGCGTGTTTTGATTACTAAAAAATTAAAAGTAAATTAAAAATCAAAAACTAATTTTATAAAGCTTTTCTTTTGATCTAAAAGCGCGTAAAAGGTTTCAACAGGGACGCCTACGGTAACATAGGAAAAAGGTTGCCCACCCGCTAAGAAACCAGCCCCGGATCGTTTCGCCAAACTTGCTGCTTCTCGAAGAGCAGCGTGTCCATTTCTAAATCCAATGTTTTTAATGTATCACTGTGGAACTTGTATTAACGTGGCTTCATGAAATTCCATTTAAAAAATTTATACCCTTCACTGGGTGAGGCACAACGTGAAAACATAACAACGCGAAACATCAACACAAAAAGTATAATAAAAACGTATAAAAATGGATATGCAAGCATCGGGGGTTTCGTTTAGAGATCTTGATCGCGTCCGAGCAGCAGCGTCAGGACGGCCATCCGGACGAACATGCCGTTGCGGGCTTGCCGGAAGTAGGCGGCGCGGTCATCGTGGTCGAGTTCGGGCGAAATCTCGTCGACACGCGGCAGCGGATGCATCACGATCGGCTTGGCGCTTTGTTGGCCTGAAAAGGATTTGTAATCACCACTCAAAAATTGCCGAAAGAGACGCAGCAAAATCATGCCCGAAAACTCACCGAGCACATTGTAATCCGTCGTCTCGTTTTCCTGGGTCGATTCGTCGAGGAGCTTTGGCGTCAAAACGAAGGCTCCTTTGACGCGCTCGTACTCGGCCTGGTCGCTGAATCGTTCCTAAAATGGTGGAGTTATATTCGGTTAAAAATTCCATTAAATTCGATGACCTCTCTAGATATAACGTTTCCAAAATTTCGCAAAATATACCCGCCTTGATCAAAAATTGAAAAAAGCTTAATTTTAGCAAATTTGGAATTTTTACATTGTTTATAATTTTATTTAGATAAGCAAGAATTTTTTAGAAATTAGAAACAAAAATTTAATTTAAAAAATTTAAAAAAATTGTGATAGATTTCAGTAGTCGAAAACTATTAAAAACACCCTACACTTTTTTTATCAAAAATCGACCAGGTAAAATTAGCTTTAGATCTCTACAAAATGCGAAGCACTATTTTCACTATAACCAACCTTCTGAACTCGAGTCATGTAGACGACGTCGACGCCCTTGATGCCCTCCGCCAGATCGGTGAATTTTTTCTAAAAGTATCATTAAGTTGTGTTATAAAAAGCACCAAACCTGGACAAAAGCGGGCCGCGTCTCCCCGGGGCGATCGCCCATCTGGCTGTGCTTGTGGACGTAGTCGCAGACCGATTCGGGCATTCCGAGCTCTTCCACCGGGGACACGTAATGGAGCGTGATTTTCTAAAAATAAAAATTAGAAAGATTGATCTGATAATTCTTACGTTGTAGCGCGTGAGGAGCTTGGCAAGCGAGTGGACGGTGCGGCCGTTCTTCAGATCGCCGACGAGCGCGATTGTGAGCCCGTTGATGGAGGAAAGCTCTTGCCGAATGGTGAACACATCGAGCAGGGCTTGTGTTGGGTGCTCGCCAGCGCCATCTCCAGCATTCACCACCGGTTGCGTGCAGACGGCGGCGGCGCGTTGGGCGGAACCGATCTGGAAAAATGGAAGTCATGTAAAAATTAATAAAAAAAAACGTTATGTTTGAAATTTTTGAAAAACCAACCTCTGGGTGCCGAATGACAACAATGTCCGCGTAGTTGCCCATAATTTGAACGGAATCTTCGAGGGTTTCGCCCTTTTGCACGGAAGACGTCTGCGAATCCATCGAGATCACGGTGCCGCCGAGTCGCTGCATGGCCGCGCTGAACGAGCACGAGGTCCGGGTGGACACCTCGTAGAACAGCGACGACATCACGTAGCCTTGAAGGACGTGTGTGATGGGATTGGTAGCGCTCCACGTCCGAGCGGAAATGCTCGGCCAGCTCGAGGATGCGGTTGATCAGCGGCTTGTCGAGGTGTTCGACGGAGATTAGGTTCTGTCCGGCCCACGCGAGTTTTGCCGGGGAAAGCCGGAGCGGGGTCTCCAGGGGAGAGTCCTGAAATTTACCATTATCATAGCATTTACCATAGTTTTTAGATACAAAAAGTTCACACAAAATATTTTTTGGTCGAAAATGTATGAAAATGATAAAAAAGTCAAGTTATTCGAATTTTTAAATTTTTTATAACTTTCTAGCACTATTTAGGTATAGGTGGAAAAGCGAAAAGTGGTTTCCCAACCTGCAAACCCCCGCTAACAGTCCAGTACCGCAAAAGCTCGTTTTTTTGCGAAAAATTAGAATTTCAAAACTCGCAGACCTCAGAAGAAAGCGTCTCGGCTGGAAGTCGTCCTTCAGCGGCAGCCTCTTCAAGCTCACGTCTAATGACATCTTCATCCTCGGCGCCAAAATCGCTGGCCAGCCGCACATTCCGGCCGCTGCCCTTCTTGGCCACGATATTCCCGTCGACGAGAGCCTCCTAAATAGGAATTTTCCGGAAAAATAAATATCTCCAACCTCTCCGTGAATTACGACGTTGACGACTTTTCCACGTACAGCACGACCGGCATACGGTGTCCAACCGGCCTTCGATTGCCCGCCATTTTCCGGGATTGTCCATTCGACGCCGAGATCAACCTGCACGGGCGAGAATTTGCGGGAAACCTATACTAAAAATACCTCGATGTAGGTATCCTTCTGCTCGGGCAGTCCAAAGATGCGCCGTGGGTTGTGGTGAAGCCGGTCGACGAGCTGTGCCAATGTGAGTCGACCCTCGTGAACGAAGGTGAGCAGCAGCGGGAGCATGTATTCGACTCCAGGGAAGCCGGGCGGTACTTTTTCAGCTCCGTGCTTCTCCTCCCGGGTGTGAGGCGCTGAAAAAACGGTTTTTTAAGCGCTGTGTGTTTCAAGAAGCAAAACAAAATTCCAGAAATGCCTGATAGCTTGCTAATCCTATTTCAACCATCTTAATAATTTTCAATAAAATTTTTGGTAAATCTAATTATATTTTAGGTAGAAACACAAAAATGTTTTTAGTGGATATTTGTGGTCGAAAATTGATAATCGCATTTTTTGTATATTTTAATTAAAGTAAAAAGGTTCACGCTAAGGGATAGTAAAAACACTTCCGATTTGATATTATAAAAACGGATCCCAATGAAAAAGTTGGCCGCCCCGGTATTACGAAAGAACCAAAATTCGTACCATGATCGGTGGCGAAGCAGTCAATGTAGTCGAGGTTGTCCCAGAGGGCTTGAACGTCAGCCTCTTGCACGAGTCGGGGGCGCACCTCGCGGACGCCGCAGGGTAGGCAGCCCTCGGTGAGGATGAGGTGGTGGGGGCACACCTCGCATGTCACAGCCCATCCCTAAAAATGGTAATTTATCGAAACGAAACCGAATTTCTTACCTTTTGCTTGGCCTCGCGGACCAGGGTCATCTCTTCAGCGGTGGCCAGGTGACAGATGTGGACGGCGCGGCCGGCCAATTGGGCACACATCAGCACGGCGGCCAAGGTTTGGCCCTCGGCGTGGCAGACGACAGGTCGAGTCGTCGGGAAAGAGCGTAGGTGCTGAAAAAGAATTTTTAAAACTTAAAACCAGTAATCGTAATAAAATATTTTCGTTCTAAAGCCCCACCTGCATCCAGTGGGCCATATTGTCCATCTTCAACGTCGAGAAGGTGTCGTTCAAGTACATCTTGAGTCCGGCGGCCCTAGAAATGGGGATAGGCTCCAAGAATACAATACTCACTTTTGCGCCAGCGACGCAGCAACTGTAGCGTTTGTCGCGGTGGCCCCAACGTACAGCGCGTAATCGACGAGCGCCTTCTCGCTGGCCAACTAAAAACCCTTAACATCACTCAACAAAAATAACCAACCTTGTCGGTGAGCTCGTAAGAGGCATTGTCGGTGAGGGCGGGTTCGTGTTGGGCATCGCGAGAATCATCGTCACACCACCGGCGAGTGCGGCGCGTGTACAGCTCTCCCAGTCTTCCTAAAAAATCGTGTTTAAGAACTTTTTAAAACCAGCTTTTCAATGCATTAAATTAATGAATTAACGCTCAAATTACCTTGTGCGTCGCGCCAGGTTCTCGGACGTGCACGTGGACATCGATGAGGCCGGGGAGACGTCGGACGGTACGCGAAGATACGCAATCAAACTGCGCGTTCATCGCCGGGCGTGGGCCCAACCTGCGCAGAGCCTAAAATAAAGAATACAAAAAAAGAATCGCTATCAACCTCGATGAACAGCTTGGCGCATTTGATGTCGGTGATCAGCGGGATGCCGTTGTCGATGGCCATCCGGCGGGTGCGGTAGCCTTGCGTGGGGCCGGCCGATACCCTGTACGCCGCTGCGCCGGATCGGCAGATTGATCATCAGGTGGAAGTCTTTGTTTTGGAAGAATTCGGTGACGGACCTAAAAGTATTTTGAAGAAAAGTGAGGTATTTTCGAACCGGGATCCCGCTGCCGTTTTGTCATCGCTGGCTCCTTCTTCGAATGGCCAATCAACCACGTGAAACCTAAAAAACAGTTAGGTAAATTTGTCATTTAAAAACTAACCGGAATATCGAGCCCGTGCAAATAATCAGCGGGTGCCCTTCGACGCGTACAAGTCGAAGCCGAGAGAGATGAGCGTCTGTATGCTGGGCATCATTTCGCGCTTATGCTGAAAAAACGATTAAATATGCCAAAAACGCTGATCTTACGTCAACTCCGCCCATCGAGATGAAGATGTTCTTCCTGGGTGGGACAAAGCCGGTGGCCAACAAGCCCTTCAAGTAGGCTTCATGTCGGTCGCGACCGAAGCACGCAACCTAAAAAATAAATTATCGCCTAAATCTTTCCAGGCACAAACCTCGCCAGTCGATGCCATCTCCACGCCAAGCATCACATCGGCGCCGGCCGGCCGTGAGAACGAAAATTGCGGGACCTAAGCCGAAATTGTCAAAATCCCAACCGAATCCACCAACCTTCACTCCAACACGTCCCCTGCCTCTGAGCACGCCGTGGACCTTTTGAACGAGCTTCCCCTCCTTGATCTGCGGGTTGTCGGCGGACATCATCGCCCTTGTCGCGAGGCCGACAAAGTCGAAATCCAGCGTCTTCGAGACGAACGGGAAGGAGCGCGATGCTCGCAGAAATTACATTCAATCACCTTCAGCTCGTTGTCCTAAAAACCGATTGAGAAAACGGTCGTCAAAAATTACCTTGGCAATCAACTGCATGTTGAATGGACCGTTGACGTTCAGGCCCAGCGCGCGATCTTCTCGGTAATTTCCTTGATCTTCTCGATAGTTGTCTCGTTCAGATCGGCCCCGGCGGGGTGACACAGCGTGGCGTCGCCCGAATGGATTCCCGCGTTTTCGACGTGTTCACCTTAAAAAGTATTCGAACCAAATAAAGGAATACCTGACAGCGGCATTACTCGTAGATCACCTTCGAGGCGCCACCGCGTCAATGTCAATCTCCTTGGCGTTGTTAATAAACTTGGAGACGACTACAGGATGCTCCTTGGCGACGATCAGTGGCGCTTCGCAGGAAACGCTCAAAGTCCGTCTCGTCGTGCGCCACATTCATCGCAGCCCCGGACAGGACATACGAAGGCCTGATTAGGCAGGGTATCCGACTGCCAGCGCAGAATCGCTTAGCATCGTCAATATCCCGACATTTCTTCCATAGTGGCTGGCAAATCTTTCAACGGGTCGAGGCAAGCGCGAGAACTTGAACCGATCTTCCGCGTTGTCAAGATCATGTCCGGCGAGGTGCCAAAGATCCGCACATTAGCTCGGCTCAACGACATGGCGATCGCCTCTTCGGCGCCTGGCCGCCGAAGGCGAGAGATCACACCCTTCGATTTCTCACGCTCCTAGACCTCCAGCACGGATCTCCACGCTGATCTCCTCAAAGTCAGGGCGGGTCGCACATGTCGTCGTCGGTGGATACAGTTTCCGGATTGCAGTTGATGGTGATCAAAGTGGTACTTCAAAGCGATTTTCAGCTCGTTCAGACAGGCCACGCACGAGGTAACGAATTCGACCGATGAGCCGATGCGGTGGACGCCGGAACCGAGCACGATCGCCGAGTTTTTCATATCGAACGCCAAGTCATCCTCGTGGCCATTGCATGTGAGGTACAAATAATTGGTAAATGCCGGCCAGCCTCCAGCCACCGTATCGATCTGTTTCACAGAGGGCGCGAATGCCGATTTTTTGGCGGGGCGTGATTCGAACCGACGGGACTAGTTCAGGCTGGGATTCGCTTGGCACTTCCCGCTTATCGCTGAAGTTAGCTTGTTTTTGGCTTCGGGCAGCTGTGGGCGCGATCCAGGTGGTCGACGGTTGACACCTGGTCTGCGAATCAATCCCTATCTCAGTGAGTCGGCGCATCAGGGTCACGATGTGGAACATGCGGTAGAGGAACTCAGCGGTCAATCCTGCTCAGCTCATACGCCTCTCAACGTCGGAAATCTCCGTAGTACATTCCGCGCGCGAGTGCGAACATCTGTTTGTCGGTGGGGCAGGATATGTCTTCTCCGTCGGCTTCCCCGGGGAACATGTCGGGGCTGAAGCCGTCGGCCGAGTCCGAAACCATTCTGAGGGCTTTTTGGAAGGCTTCTTCGAATGATCGGCTGATGCCCATCACTTCACCGACACTCTTCATCGACGAGCCGATCTGGCACGAGACGCGGGCAAATTTGCTGAGATCCCAGCGCGGAATCTTCACGACACAGTAATCCAGGGACTGCCTGAAACAGGCAGTTGTCTTTCCAGTCACGGAATTTCTGATGACAGGCAAGCGATGTCCGAGGGCCAACTTGCCGCCACGTAGGCCAATGGATAGCCGGCGGCCTTGGAAGCGAGAGCGGAAGATCTTGACAGACTAGCATTCACTTCGATGATGTAGTACCGTTCCGAGTCGGGGTCCAGCGCGTATTGGATTCGTTGCACTCGCCGATGATGCTGAGATGGCGGATCACTTTGATGGCATTGGAGCGGAGCATGTTGTACTCCTAGTCGCGACAGTCGTCTGTGACGGAGCAACGACCACCCGGAAATATGATAAAAATTAAATAGGTTTTTCGATTGTCTATGCCCTGATATGCAAAAAAACTGACCGATTCTCCTGTATGAATCCCGAGCGGATCGACGCTTTCATGTTGCAGACGGTGATGCAGCTGGTCGTAGGCGTCGCGAACCACTTCATTCCATCTGAAAAATGATTATTACTAAGGGCTGCGTGCTGCGAAATTTCCTATGCGTCTAATCCGTTCGTGCGTCGAATCTCCTATAGTAATGTCATCGAAAATATTTTAATAGTTATTTTTTGGGAAAATTTCGCTACTGCAAAGTGAGAAAACTAGTTACAACTCTTCCAAAACCACACACCTCTTTCCAGCCCTTCAACCTCTTGTCGACGAGCACTTGGTCTGAGGCGGCAAGCGCCTTCTTTCGCAATCTCCACCAGTTCGGCCTGATTTGACGCGAAGCCCGAGCCGAGTCCTCCAAATCGGCAGTAGGCGGCGCGGACGAGTACTGCGCAGCCAGCTCCTTTCGGCTGCTTGATCGTTCCTTCGAGCGTCGTCGCGGCTTTACTCGGCGCGACTTGTTCTCCAATTGATTGCATTTCGGTATTGAACCGCTCGCGGTCTTCCGTATTTTGGATTGTCTGGATTTGTGTCCCAAGCACCTGCACGTTGTACTGGTCGAAGATGCCGTCCTTGTACAAATCAATGGCACAATTTAGTGCCGTCTGCCCGCCAAACGTGCAGAGGATACCGGTCGGGCGTTCCTTCTTGATCACATCCGTAACGTACTCCTTGGTGACGGGCAGGAAATTGTCTTATCCGCGAATCCCTTGATTAGTCTGCACAGTGGCCACGTTAAGGCGATGAGCACGGACGCGATTCCCTCTTCGCGAAGGCTTTCAGGGCCTGTGCGCCAGAGTAGTCAAACTCGCCAGCCTGACTGATCGTCAGACCTCCGGATCCGAGCACGAGCACTTTCTTCTGCTCGGTAATTTTGTAGGTGGACGGGAAGGTGAGGTGTTCGGTGATGAGCTTGTCGGCGCTCAGCAATTGTCCCTTCTTGCCGCGGCGACGACTTCGGCAAAAATGTCGAACAGGAACTCGCAATCGGTGGGCCCGGCCGAATGTTCTGGGTGGAATTGACGCTGAACAAGGGCTTGTCGACGTGCACGATTCCTTCGTTCGTCCCCTCATTCTCTTGGTGAAGAGTGGACGCCAGGTTGCCGGGGAGGGTCTTTTCGTCCACCTAAAATACAAACAAATAGTGAAAGGAGAGGCTTTAACTACCGCAAATCCGTGATTCTGCGATGTAATGTAGCAACGGCCTGTAGCGTAGTGTGTGCAAGGCTGGTTGTGACCACGATTACCACATCTAAAAAATAAGGCTTTTTCGAAAGGAGGGAGACCCACTTTAGCTTGTCGGTTGGAACCGACAGCCCTGGCGAGGAGCTGGTGGTCGAGGCAGATTCCAAAGATCGGCTTATCGCCTCGGGCCACGATCTTGATAGGCGCTCAACGAGCAGGGCGCATTTCTCGGGATCGCCGGGTCCGTCTGACAGGAAGAGACCGTCGAACTCTAAAATTCAAAAATTTATTTGATAAAAGATCCCAACCTTCTTTTTCAATGGGCCAATCCCAGGGGACGACCTTTACCCTGCCGACACGTCGCAC